GAGGGGGGGTCAGATGGGCCCCCCCTCCCCATAGGAGCCTTCATCCCCCCCCCATCCCAGCCCGGTTTGGGGTCCCCAGCACTCACCAGCCCAGTGCAGGGGGGTCCGGTTCTGCCCGTCCACGTGGCCCTCGTTGGCACCGTACTGGGGGGGGGGACAGTGGGCAGGGACCCTCCCCGAGCTGGGGATGGGACCCCACGTCCTGCCCTGCCCTTCCCCAGCCCTGGGTCCATCCTCATCCTCATCCTCATCTTCATCCTTGGCCTTGTCCTCGTCCCCGCCTCCACCCCCGTCCTTGTCTTTGTCCCCATCCTTATCCCACCTCAATCCCCAGCTCCATCCTCATTCCCCTCTGCATCCCTGGCCCCATCCCTGGCCTTGGCCCCATCCCTGTCCTCGTCCCCACCCCTACCTTCATCCCCATCTCCATCCTCATCTTCCTCTGCATCTCCATCCCTGTACCCATCCCTGTATCCTTGACTTATCTCCATCCCTATTTCCATCCTCATCCTCCTCTGCATCTCCATCCCCGTCCTTGTCCTTATCCCTCTCTCCATCTTCATCTTCCTCTGTATCTCCATTCCCATTCCTGTCCTTATCCCCACCCTTATCTCCATCCTCATCCCTCCTCTGTATCTCCATCCCTGTCCCTGTCCTTATCCCCCTCTCCATCCTCATCTTCCTCTGCATCTCCATCCCTGTACCCATCCCTGTCCTTGTCCCCATCCTTACCTCCATCCTCATCCCATTCTGCATCTCCATCCCTGTTCCTGTCCCCATCTCCATCCTCATCCTCCTCTGAATCTCTCATCCTCCTCTGCATCTCCATCCCCGTCCCTGTCCTTATCCCCATCTCCAACCCTATTTCCATCTTCATCTTCCTCTGAATCTCCATCCCCATTCCTGTCCCCATCCCTGTCCTTGGCCCCATCCTTGACCTATCTCCATCCTTGTCCCCCTCTGCCTCTCCATCCCTGTCCTTATCCCCACCCTTATCTCCATCCTCATCCCTCCTCTGTATCTCCATCCCTGTCCCTGTCCTTATCCCCCTCTCCATCCTCATCTTCCTCTGCATCTCCATCCCTGTCCTTATCCCTATCCCCACCTCTACTTCCATCCCCAGCTCCATCCTCATCTTCCTCTGCATCCCCATCCCTGTCCCAGCTGGTACCTGCAGCAGGACCTTGACGCACTGGGGCTGGCAGGCGATGGTGGCCAGATGCAGAGCGGTGCTGCCTGCAAGAGACCCAGGGGGTGACAAGGGGGACACCAGGGACACGGCCAGCGGGGAACCCCCCCTGGGGAACATCTCTCCTTGTGGAACATTGTCCCCATTCCTGTCCTTGTCCCCATCCTTACTTCCATCCTCATGCCATTCTGCATCTCCATCCTCATCCTCCTCTGCATCTCCATCCCTGTTCCTGTCCCCATTCCTGTCCTTGTCCCCATCTTTGACCTATCTCCATCCCTAACTCCATCCTCATCCTCCTCTGCATCTCCATCCCTGTTCCTGTCCCCATTCCTGTCCTTGTCCCCATCTTTGACCTATCTCCATCCCTAACTCCATCCTCATCCTCCTCTGCATCTCCATCCCTGTTCCTGTCCCCATTCCTGTCCTTGTCCCCATCTTTGACCTATCTCCATCCCTAACTCCATCCTCATCCTCCTCTGCATCTCCATCCCTGTTCCTGTCCCCATTCCTGTCCTTGTCCCCATCTTTGACCTATCTCCATCCCTAACTCCATCCTCATCCTCCTCTGCATCTCCATCCCTGTTCCTGTCCCCATTCCTGTCCTTGTCCCCATCTTTGACCTATCTCCATCCCTAACTCCATCCTCATCCTCCTCTGCATCTCCATCCCTGTTCCTGTCCCCATTCCTGTCCTTGTCCCCATCTTTGACCTATCTCCATCCCTAACTCCATCCTCATCCTCCTCTGCATCTCCATCCCTGTTCCTGTCCCCATTCCTGTCCTTGTCCCCATCTTTGACCTATCTCCATCCCTAACTCCATCCTCATCCTCCTCTGCATCTCCATCCCTGTTCCTGTCCCCATTCCTGTCCTTGTCCCCATCTTTGACCTATCTCCATCCCTAACTCCATCCTCATCCTCCTCTGCATCTCCATCCCTGTTCCTGTCCCCATTCCTGTCCTTGTCCCCATCTTTGACCTATCTCCATCCCTAACTCCATCCTCATCCTCCTCTGCATCTCCATCCCTGTTCCTGTCCCCATTCCTGTCCTTGTCCCCATCTTTGACCTATCTCCATCCCTAACTCCATCCTCATCCTCCTCTGCATCTCCATCCCTGTTCCTGTCCCCATTCCTGTCCTTGTCCCCATCTTTGACCTATCTCCATCCCTAACTCCATCCTCATCCTCCTCTGCATCTCCATCCCTGTTCCTGTCCCCATTCCTGTCCTTGTCCCCATCTTTGACCTATCTCCATCCCTAACTCCATCCTCATCCTCCTCTGCATCTCCATCCCTGTTCCTGTCCCCATTCCTGTCCTTGTCCCCATCTTTGACCTATCTCCATCCCTAACTCCATCCTCATCCTCCTCTGCATCTCCATCCCTGTTCCTGTCCCCATTCCTGTCCTTGTCCCCATCTTTGACCTATCTCCATCCCTAACTCCATCCTCATCCTCCTCTGCATCTCCATCCCTGTTCCTGTCCCCATTCCTGTCCTTGTCCCCATCTTTGACCTATCTCCATCCCTAACTCCATCCTCATCCTCCTCTGCATCTCCATCCCTGTTCCTGTCCCCATTCCTGTCCTTGTCCCCATCTTTGACCTATCTCCATCCCTAACTCCATCCTCATCCTCCTCTGCATCTCCATCCCTGTTCCTGTCCCCATTCCTGTCCTTGTCCCCATCTTTGACCTATCTCCATCCCTAACTCCATCCTCATCCTCCTCTGCATCTCCATCCCTGTTCCTGTCCCCATTCCTGTCCTTGTCCCCATCTTTGACCTATCTCCATCCCTAACTCCATCCTCATCCTCCTCTGCATCTCCATCCCTGTTCCTGTCCCCATTCCTGTCCTTGTCCCCATCTTTGACCTATCTCCATCCCTAACTCCATCCTCATCCTCCTCTGCATCTCCATCCCTGTTCCTGTCCCCATTCCTGTCCTTGTCCCCATCTTTGACCTATCTCCATCCCTAACTCCATCCTCATCCTCCTCTGCATCTCCATCCCTGTCCTTATCCCTATCCCCACCTCTACTTCCATCCCCAGCTCCATCCTCATCTTCCTCTGCATCTCCATCCCCATTCCTGTCCTTGTCCCCATCTTTGACCTATCTCCATCCCTAACTCCATCCTCATCCTCCTCTGCATCTCCATCCCTGTTCCTGTCCCCATTCCTGTCCTTGTCCCCATCCTTACTTCCATCCTCATGCCATTCTGCATCTCCATCCTCATCCTCCTCTGCATCTCCATCCCCGTCCCTGTCCTTATCCCCATCTCCAACCCTATTTCCATCTTCATCTTCCTCTGAATCTCCATCCCCATTCCTGTCCCCATCCCTGTCCTTGGCCCCATCCTTGACCTATCTCCATCCTTGTCCCCCTCTGCATCTCCATCCCTGTCCTTATCCCTATCCCCACCTCTACCTCCATCCCCAGCTCCACCCTCATCATCCTCTGCATCCCCATCCCCATCCCTGTCCCCATCCCTGTCCCTATCCTTGTCCCCATCCCCGTCCCAGCTGGTACCTGCAGCAGGACCTTGACGCACTGGGGCTGGCAGGCGATGGTGGCCAGATGCAGAGCGGTGCTGCCTGCAAGAGACCCAGGGGGTGACAAGGGGGACACCAGGGACATGGCCAGCGGGGAACACCCCCTGGGGAACATCTCTCCTTGGGGACATCTCACTTTGGGGACATCTCGCCTTGGGGACATCTCACCTGGGGGACATCTCACCTTGGGGACAGGGTGCTCCCCGGGGGCTTGGTACCTTGGGGTGCAGGTCTGGTGTATGGTCCCCCCCGAGGGGACATGGGGGACCCTGTGGCTGTGTCGTGGTTGTCCCCCCTCCCACCACGTCCCCACCGGTGTCCCCCCCACTCACCGTCATCGTTCTTCTCGTTAACGGGGGCCCCTCGGGCCAGCAGCAGCGTCAGGCACTCGGTGAGACCCCTGGACGCGGCCAGGTGGAAGCTGGAGGAGGGCAAAGAGGGGGCTGCCACCCAGGTAGGTCCCCATCGACCACCCCGGGGACCCCCCCAGAATCGGTGTGCCCCCCCCGGGGTGGGGGGTGACCTACGCGGACTGTCCCAGGGCGTTGAGCTTGGCGGGGCGGGCGGTTTTGCGGGCGGCGAGGGCGGCCACCCTGCCCACGTCCCCCTTCTCCACCGCTTCCAGCAGCTTCTGGTCCTGCTTGTTCCAGCTCTCCACCTGGATTTTGGGGGGGAGCAGGGACTCCGGGGGGGGCTGCAGGGACGGGGACCCCCCCTTTTGCCTTTCCCTTCCCCCTTTTCCTCCTTTCCCTTCCCCGCCAGGTTTGAGGGGAAACTGAGGCACGGCTTCTCCACCAGGGCCACCATGTTGGGGGTGACCCCTCTTGTGGGATGTGCCCCCCCCTTTTCCCACCCCCAGGGATGGGAATATGGGATATGGGGACCCCCCCCCCCCCCACGGATCCCGGCGCTGGGTGCCGGCCGGGGAAGGCGAGGCGAGGCTGGCAAGCGTGTCCCTGCCTGCGCTTGCCCGGCTGGTTTGTCGGGGTGCAGCCGCCGCCGCCGCCACCGAGCCCCACAGCCGGGGGGGTGGGGGGGCACCGGGACACGGCCGGGCACCGGGAGCAGGTTGGGGGGCACGTTCCGAGGCTGGGAATTGGGAATCAGGGCTGGGATTGGGATTGCAGCCAGTATCGGGGCTGGGATTGGGATTGCAGCCAGTATTGGAGCTGGGATTGGGATTTAAACCGGCGTCGGATGGGGCTGGGGTTTGGGTCGGGATTGCAGCCGGCATCGGGGCTGGGATTGGGATCGGGATCCAAACCGGCGTCAGAGCTGGAGTTGGGGTTGGGAATCAAACTGGCATCGGAGCCGGAACTGGGATTGCGGTCGGCGTCGGGGCCGGGATTTGGGCTGGGGGTTGGGATTGCAGCTGGCAGCAGGGCTGGGAATGGGGCTGGGATTGGGGTTGGGATTGAAACTGGCATTGGAGCTGGGATTGGGATCACAGTCAGGATCAGAGCAGGCATGGGGGCTGGGATTGGGGTCGGGGTTGGGGCTGGG